GAACCCTTTTTTTTTTTTGCACAGCCTCTGCCTGCAAGCCCATTGAACTGGTTTAGTTGTAATTTTATATATAAAAATTAATCAGAGGCAGACACTGGCATGGAAAAATTCAGCTTAAAGAGTTAAATTTTGGCACAGCTTTATGCAACTAAGATCACATTCCTGAAAAACGTCAGTCAGCTTTAATAATCGGTTGTGCTACCCGGCTGTCTAGTACACACGCATTACATACAGTCCCATAAAACTAATTTCTGACATGTTTCCATCCTTCTCCATTGTTACATTAATATAGTTAGCATATGTTAAGATACTTTCTCATTGGAGACAGGAAGGACAACTGGAATTCCAATGATCATAAAGCACGTACATATTCTGTCAAAATTCCAAGTCAGAAAGGCCCTTGAATTAAATTACAATGAAAGAGTATAATAACTATTATGAGCTTGATTTTAAATATTCATCTCCTCTTTGAATGGAACCACTGAGTCCTTTCACTCTTCCTTTGGGATGGACTTTTCTCAACATAATCACCTTCAAAGTGAATGTTAAGTAAGCACTGTGATCTCTGAAAAACAGGTTTTAGAGGATGCTGCTACCATTTTTTCTGGCTGTTTTGTTCCCCCTAGACCCAAGCTACACGCTTTGCTGCAAATTTCCTCATAGCCACAGGAGCTACAATCCTTTCATTGTCATTTTTCATCTTCAGCAGTGATGCCAGTTTACTTCCCTCACCAGTCTTTAGTTAACTGACATATTTTGTGCCAGAAGTGCAGCATTTACCATATAGAAAGCTGCCTGAGAGTTGACCTCCAAGGATAAAATAAATGTAATTCACCTGCTGTAATGCTACAGGATGTACTGAATATCTCAAACACCAGAGAAATGTGCCCAGAGCTACAGTGAGTCAGTCGTTGAGACAGCTGGAATTGGAATTTAGGAGCTCCTTGCTCTCACTCTACTGTAATTATTATTTATTTTACCATAGCAAAGACGAGGTCTTTTCAGGACCTGGCCCTTTTGTACCACATACTGTACAAAGAATGAGGGCTATTCTGCTAAAAAGACTGCAGTCCTCTCTAATGAAAGTTTTAACGTCTGCCAATAAGAATTATTTTCAGGTACAAGGTATAACAATGCCAACATTCAAGAGGAAAATAAATCATTTTACAATTACTTGTAATTAAATATTGTTTTATTAAAATGACTGGAAAACATTCTTGCCTTCCATTTCAGATATTTATTTTACAATTTTTAATTACACTTACCACTGAGGTTCTCCAACAGGAAATTTAATAGATCCATGAACCCTGAGAGCTGTATAAGACTGAAGTTCATTTCTTTAGCCCAACAGAATCCCGCAGTATAATAATCTAGCAAAACAGCTTCTTTCAAAGACGTCTTTAACTGTTTGAAATTCAGAAATTCTTCCAGCTTTCTAGAATAAATTGCAGAGTAAAATAATGAAATCAAAAAACAAATTACAGATTCCAAAGTTTAACTGAGTCTGCTTGTGATTATAATATTTACTATTATTATCTTATACATATATGTACATAGCTTGCTGGAACTTAGCTACATCAATTTCTAGATATGAACATTTATGATCAGAGGACATAGCAACCAAAAAAAGTAAACAAACACCTACAGGTTTCAACAGACACTATTGAAACATTAAGGTATGATTAATGAAATAACAAAAATAATAACAAATTACAAAAAACAAAGAGAAAAACACTGAAAATCCCAGAGAAAAACCCATGTTTGTTCAGGAAGGGGCTTGTAGGATGAAATGGAACAATAAGTCTCCACTTCCTACTACCACTCTTTCACTCCGATGGAGACAAGCTTTACAGTACTAAAAAATCTTGCTTCCCTTTCCAGATTATTTTTCATGTAGCCTCTGAAGAAAAATGACATTTGAAAATTAATGTAAATAATAGAATATAAAATTACTGAAAGTACGTAAAATATTTAGAAGTTTAAATTCCACCTTCGTAACGGTCAAGACATTTTAGAAGAGCCTCATCCTATTTTACTGGCACGCTGTGTAAATTTTTCCACTTACTTTGACTTGAAAAAGTAATGAAAAAATACACTCCCTTGTAGGAGACCATGCTGTTGCTGACACATTTATGTCTACTCTATCCAAACATAGAACTAGTGGTGTCTTTTATAATCACTGTGCACATTTTTCCACATGAAGAGAAGGGATTGGGGCTGGGACTTCAGTTTGCAGTTCTTCCAGTATAACTTCAACCAGGTCTCAGGTAGTGAAGTTTTGCATTAAAGCAATCCTTGGTTTCTTAACTATACCTGATGATACAGGTGCCAGTTGCGATCACAGTTTCTAGTCCCCTGTAAAAGAGCAAAGCCTTCCCCCACGCCTGCTTCTCATTCTTCCTAAGAGGGGCATTAATCTCAGACCTACTAATAGGACAGCGTTAGTTTTTCAGGGTTTTCACCAAGCCAGTAAAGATACACTGTCGAATAAAATGAGTTGCTTTTTTTAATTAAAGCCTCAATAGCTAACAAAGTAAAGCATATAATCCAATCAGTTTTGTTTAAAACATGTATTCCTTTGTTCTGCATGACAAATTTGTATGGCTGTACACATGCAAGTCAGTTAAAAACACTTAACTGTGGACTGAAATAGAAGTGGAACGCAGCCAGCTGAACTTTCCAAGGTTTGAAACAGTCCATATCCTCTCTTTCTGAAGCTTCTGCCAACTCTGTGCTTTCATAATCAGCGCTTCACAGGGATTTAGATTTTCTCTGATGCTGCTAACAATGCCAGTACTCATCTTTTCAATATTCTGTAAGGCATGTCACTGACAACAGTATCTATAAATGATTGGGAAATGATGGGGCACTTAGATTTCCTGGTTACCCTGGTTGCTATTTCTTCCTTTGTGGAAGGTGTTCAAGTCCTATGCTGCTGGACAGCAGTGTAAAACTCCGTGATAGATGGGAACATGGGACATCAAAATTCCCATACTGGGTCAGATCTGCTCGGATTTTCTCACCTTAGCTGTGGCCTTCAAACTGCTCTTGTGTATAGACATGGTGCACTGTGGTAAACTAACAAAATTTCAATGCTGCTGCTAAACTGCTTAGAGCATACAAAATACCCTGTAACTACCTTCTTCTCAGTCAGATGCAGTATATACTTTATGTTCCACTTGTACAGTGTGTGTATATATATAAGACTAAGAAACGTACGATCTTTCAGTGTTTTTCTTTTTAATCTTAGTAAGAAAGTTTCACAACAAATTGCATCATTAAGCACGTTTTAGTCTCCAGTGAGTTGTATGCTTCAGCCTCCTCTAAAATAAGAGGCCTATTGTGCAAGAGAAAACAGTAAATGAAATAAATTTTATTATTATTATTATTTGATGGGAAAAAAATTTCTTTCCAGTTTAGTTAAACAAAAAAAATTCCCAGAAAGAATTTTAGTTTTCCTCAGAACAGTGACAAATAGGAGGAACAGAATATATTTCAGGAATACTATTTTGATCCCTATTAAATGGTTTATCTATACAGTAGGACAAGGTTGGATTTGGATTTTTTATTTCCCTCCTTCCCCCAAAACTAGTACAGTGGACCAGCCCTTTGGCTTTCAATTCACTAAGAATTTGCTAGGGGACACAAGTGCTCCTAAATAATTCAGGCACTTCTGAAAAATCCCATCCTTAAAATATAAGTCTAGATTCTCAGGTTGAACTCCTGGCCTCCTACATTTAGCTGCTATTAAGCACTAATAACAGGAGAGAGCGTTGCTACAGGAAAGACAAGATGGGCTTACATCAGAAGTCGTTGGCTGCCTCCTATTTCCCCAGTGGACCATAATGGCTACCTAACTAATACCTTCTTAAGCTTTCCATCCCCTTCTGAACTTTTAAAACCTTTCTGATTTTTCAATAACTCATGTTACAGTACAGAATCTTAAATATTTTAGCAAAAAAGTTACCCAGTGAGACTTATAAAAAAAGCTCAGTACTGGCCTGTTCATATTTACATCTTAGTATTCCATTTACAGCGTATTTGATACCATTGTAAACGCAGAAACTATATTGATGTGAAATATCAGTGGGAAAGAAAAAAAGGAGTCAAAGAAAAATCAAGAGATATAAGAAATAAAGTAAAACAAAGTGGATCTGAGATTAACAGTATTTCTTCCTATCTTTCATGAATCTTATTAAATATCAATGACTTAACTGAACAATTAAAGACTAATGACGTAACCATCACAAAGGAAATCTAACAAATGGTCTAAATTTTTATTTCATTTTATTATATTGGTTCTAGCATTGTTACCATTGCCACTTACTTTTGAACTCCTTCTACATTTTGTCCTGACAAAGCAATAATTTGGGAAAGAGAAAGAAACGTCCGGTTAATAATCTTTCCACCTATGGCGTCCTGATCTTGGTCTTCTTCCTACACACATATATGTATACAGGAATATAATTTTAAAAGGTTTATATTATTATGTCAGTAACTTACCTAAATAACATTTTTATTTTGAGGAAGTATGTAAGGGATTAATGCAACAGATGCCAAAAATCTAACACGGCTATAATTACATGGCAGCAACACAATACCCTAACACATTTTCACTAGAGAAAACCTAGTCAGATATGTGGAAAATAATATTTTTATCTTGAATTCATGTGGGAACATAGCGACATATTATGTGCAGCACAAGATTAAATTAACTTGCAAGTAAAAACAATAGAAATATAAAGGTGCAAAAAATCCATGAATCTAGATTTGACCAGCATGATATTAGATTGCACAGTAATTAAATTTTAAAATCAGTTTCTGTTTAAGATATTATGAGTACACATACACATTATTGTAGTATTTGCTTTCCACCCTATACTTGATTGCATTTTCAAATTTACTGTCTACACAGACTCCTTCCCTAAGCAAAAAAAAGTCCAAGATGTTTGCTGCAACACAATGACACCCGTACAAGGAGATGACACTACTGTTGCAGGGAAGGTCTGTAGGTTTGTAATACAGAAGGCAGTTCCTTATAAGAAATACAAGGATGTACCTGTTACAGGGGATAACAAACTGAGCATGAACCAACAATGCAATGGTCTTCAAAAAATGGGCACATTTGATGGTATTTTATATAGTGTTTGTCACTGACCAAAAACTTTTGACCACAGAATTCAGTAAGAAATCTATGAAATAAATGGAACAATGGAGAAAGAAACCTGGTTTGCAATAGAATACATAGGCGACAAAGTGAAGTTTCAAAGCACATTACAGAATGTGAGATGAGCCAGACTCTCTGCAGAGATATATGGCAGGGGAACAAGGAACAATGGTTGTAGAATAGAATAGAATAGAATAGAATATTTCACTTGGAAGGGACCTATAATACATTAGCATGGGACAGCATAAAGAAAAATATTTCACTATGAAGATAATTAAGCAGTAGAACAGGTTACCCAGAAAGGTGCAAGAATCTCCGTCCCTGCAGGTTTTCAAGACTGCGCTGGACAAAGCCCTGGTCTGCATTCAGCGCTGGCCTGGCTCCGAGCAGGAGGCCGAACAAGCTCATGTCCCAAAGATCCCTTCCAGCCTCATGACTGCGAGTCTAATTGGCCCGACCTGCTTCTGCATCAGGGCACAAAAACGTCTGAGTAAAACCTGATCATAATTTACTCGTAGCAGGTACACTTCACCATCTGTGGGACTTGGGCTTTACTGAAGTGCAGCAAGGCAAAGCTTGCAGAATAATGTTTCTAGCTCACCTAGAGAGAGAGAGGTGGAAGATTTCCTAACACAAGCTGAGTTTTGAGCCTCAACAGCGTTATTCTGGGCTAATAATCAACTGACTCTGGCGCTGGTCAAAGAGAGCCCCCAAATAAAGCTACACTACTCCCCCTGCTGCTGCCGAACTGCAAAATATACTCAAAACTCTGGGACCAGCTGAATTACAACATTCAAGACTGATGAAACAAGAGTGAGAGCAACAAAGAACATCTAGTGGACAGACTAGGTTTTTCCCTCTAATTAAGTACTAGAGCACTTTCGCATGTCCTTTAACATGAAAAATTATTCTGAACTGGAAAGGAGTTCGTCTCAGCTACAATGTCTCATCAGAACAACAGGAACGAAGTAAACAAAGGCTTCCTTCATGTAGTTAGGAACATAACATTAGTTTGCTTTCGTTTTTATTAGCAGTAATTCATGCAGTATAAAAAGAAGTACTCCTACAGTCTGTAATGTTGGTATAATTGAAGCTGCACGCCCCAGCTAGGAAAGATAAAAAAAATAAAAGAATAAATAGCTCAACATGCTAATATTCTACAATTATTGAAAGATATTTTTTAATAATTAGAAAAAAAATGAATGCTTTCCTGAAGTGACCAATGGTGTTAGAAACTTGGTGAACAAGAGATTCTTTAGAAGTAGCAGAGCTGAATTAAAAGAATAGCTGATATTGATGTTTTCGAAACTGAATTAACACCAGTTCGTCTCTCTCTCTCAGGATGTCCAACACATAGGATACTTTATGATGTGTTTTTGCACCATTATACAAATGGCATATTACCGGTCAGTCAGTCAACACCCTACTGACCATACGTCTTTACAAGGCAAAACATTAACATTTTACAGGTATCACCCCAGACGGACTTCATCAGTATAGCATGGGCAATTTAGCACTGTATCAGAAAGAAAAGCACAAGAAAGTTCAAGGCATAGCGGTTTTCTTCTCATCAGACTATCTTCCAGCTTCTCCTCTGTGGTTACAGTCCAGGTGTGAGTAGGAAGAGACCCTCCCGTAACACTCTCAGCCACCTGCACAACAGCCCTCCACCATTCAAGATCACGGCAGTAGCCCTGTAAATACAGGTGCATCAAAAGTCTTTTTTTTCCTCCCACCGCTTACACCTCATGCTGTAAGCAACAGGTCAGTAGGCAAAAAATTGAACATGCTGGAAAACAACTTTCTACCTGAACTCCCAAGAATCTAATCCAAACTAACTTCTTGCTGCTTCTTGAAAGGTATCAGGCAACATCCATCATGTCAGAAAAAGCTTGTGGAAAAAGGAATTTTCTCCTGCTTCCGGTATGTACCTGGCTCACTACAGCATGAAACTTTCTAACCCAAACCGCGCTGTCAGGCCCAGCAGACTTAACGTGCTGATGCCAAGGCTCATCTCATTCTCTGAATTACAAACAGCAGGAAGGGCCTCCGGGAAAATTTGCTGAAGTCTTAGTATGTAGCGTTGTATTCTAGCAGTATATAAACTATGTAAGATTACAAAAAATTATTTAAACATAACTCCGGGTGCCTTAGACTCAGTCACCTATAAACTCTTTCAACACATTTAAAGGTCCTCTAGTATTAGAAATGTATTCTCCAAACAACTAAAGTTGGCAGTTTTAACTTAAGACGCATTCAAGCTGTTCTAACTCAGTATTGCAGACAAGGGTCTGTAATCTGTGCATCAAAATCAAACCGTTTACATGGCAAGGTGAACGCTCCGCATTTCACCATTTCATTGCCCAGCCTCTGTAGCGACACTCCCAGCAGCAGCACCCCTCACCAGTGTGTTACCACCTTTGTCACCGCTCCTGGTATGGATGGATTTGTAGCAGAGCTGTCGACTACCGACAAGCACAGGTATCAGATAAGAAATACTGTTCCAAATGACCGATGAGGAACTACAGGAGAGAAAGTACATGATTTAGAGAATTAATTTTTAAAATTATCAATGTTTCTGTAATTTAAAAGGCAGTGAAAGTCCATGAATCATTTGAATAATCCCATATTCGTGGGAAGTTTCTGTTTGGGCAGAACCTACATGCCCACCCCCCACTAAAAGCTTATAATTATTTTGATGGAATACTGTTTTCTCTTTTGATTGCGGCCTTTAATGACCACTGAAAAGTCAAAGAGAAATTATTTTATATGTGTGTTGACTGATGTCAAAGAATTTACCATCCATTTTACTGTTAACTGTAGTGACTGACTGAGGTAATCCAAGGTGAGTTAATTCTGGTACCACTATCCTCATGTGTTGGGAAAAAAAACCTCAAACCAATCCTGCCAATACTCCCAGCAGTAGACTTAACCTATTGAAATACAAACTACTATTAGAGAATTATTTGTTGCTGTTTTATTTTCCTTCAAGAAATTTTTAGCTGTTCTGGATGTATAATACATTACTGGTTGTTCAATGCATTACTCTAAATGCTTTGGGCACCCCTTGTCAACAGCATCAAATCAAAATACCAAATCAGATATTCCAAAACAAAAAAATAAGATCTTCCCTGAATGTTCAATGTTCACAAACCACGGCCAATGTTCACGGCCAATGCTCACAAACCACCCCGAAGCACAAAATATTAGCAGAAGAGCGATATCGTTCAATAGCAAATTGCAAAACCCCTCCATGTTTGGGGGTTGGGAAGAACACTCTCTCAAAAACCCAAACCCCAAGTGAGCCATCCCTGGCTGGAAAAACTGCCCCACTATCTGCAGTTTTGGTGAGAGCCTTTCCAGAGTGGCAAAATCTTGAAACACAGCAATGGAAATTAGCACCAGTGTTCCTGAAGGAAAACAAGATTGTCCCTTGGGATGAGCCCTCCGCAGTGGCCGAAGACGTTACTTATTTGCATTTGTTTGACGATATAACACCGTGGCTTTGCAAAATCATGACTTTCAAAATACACTCGCTAAGGGATAGCTAACCAGCTGTCTCAAATTATAACAAATACCTGACTTGTCAGGAACCCAAGCTCCTCCTGTCCTCACTCCATCAGGGCAATTAGACTGGACTAAACTCTGCTGCCACAGCTAGATAGTTTCCAGTACCTGAGCTAGCTCATTTCAAGCTAGCTCAGCTACCTCTGTCTGAGCGATACTGCTGACAGATGTACAGATGTACCCTGAAAAAGTGTTGCGTATCAGTTACAGCTTTAATCAAAATGGGAATGGAAAAAAAAAACAAAAACCCACAACACACCAGCAACACAGGCTGTTATTTGTATTATTATACGCATTTTGTTATCAAGCTGTCAAATACTTCAGCAGAAGCAGAAAATCTCAAAGCTGTCTACATAAATAGTTAAGGCAGAAACAGAAATGCATTCCCTGTTCCTGTTTGTTTTAAAAAAGCCCCACTTGTCCGCTCCCACAGTGGGAAGTTAAAATCAATAGTTGCTATTTTTAGTCATAATATTTCTTTTGTTGTCAAACAAATAAGGAAATAAACCCAGTAACGCTAATTTCAGCCACATTCAAAAGAGAAATATGCAGATATGTCAGATGCAAAAGATAAAACCTACATGGAAGGAAAGCTTTCAGAGGACCATTATAAACAACAGACGCTGATAGTGTCCTTTTAATAACAAAATATGCTTCAAAAAATTCCATACAGTCCAAACGTCAAGATTTATGGATGACCAAA